TCTCCTCCTCCCTCCTCCCCAAGCACCTCCCCTCCGCCCCTACCCCGCTTTCCTTCCACCTCCCCACGGCCACCCTCGCCTCCCTCGCCCCGCTCCGCCGCCTCGCCCTCCCGGCCTCGCCGCACCCCCGCGTCACTGCCTCCTCCTCCATCGCCAAGTCGCTCCTCCAGCTCGAGCACGACTACTCCTGGGACGCCGAGTCCCAACACGGCCGCCGCCGCCGCGTCTTCGACCGGCCGCCCAATTTGGCGGTTCTCTTCACGTCCGTCTCTGATTTCGAGGAATTCGGGGAGAACGCCAGCCCTGAGAAGAGGTTTCGTGGGGTTTTCGAGCCGGTGAGGGACCGGCTTCAGTCCAGGGGCATACAGGTGTGCTGGGTTGCCGTTGGTTCCACCGGCGAGGGGATACGGAGGGCGGTGACAGACCTAGGGTGGAGGTTTACGACAGCAGATGCAGTCACGTTGGGGTCGGCGGTTGCCCCGCCAGGGCTCGTCTGGGGAGGTGTTGGATTTGGGTGTGGGGGAGGTGGACGGCGAGGTGAGGTAGTGTTGGAGATCGCCGATGTGAAAGGGAAGCCACTGGTCTGCAAGGGCTGCGAGGTTGAGATTGTTAGCTCCACGCCGTCGCAGGTGGGTAGCCACGGTGTGTCCAGGATACATGTGAAGGCGGTGTGTGAGGTGGGGAATTGGGAGCAGTTAATGGGCAGAGATGGCGAGGTTGCTCTGGTACGTGGGTTGCCACAGGATAGGAGCAAGGGTGACGGTGAAGGAGCTGTGGACAGGGAATTTTTCCCTCATCGGCTTCTTGAGTTGGTTCTTGCTGATGAGAGCAATTGCCTTCGGGCTGGAATGCCTATTTGGCAGCTCATTCTGGTTTTCCTTAATAGGAAAAACTATTGTGCAATGGTTTCGATTTCTGATGGAGACGAGAAGTCTGTAGATGGCCTTCTCGTACCTTTCTCGATGAGCTGTGCATTACTGCATGTCGACAGGAATGGCACTGGTTTAGAACAGGTGGTTGCGAAGAGTCCTGAAACATTGGATAGTTCCATGCCTGATCCACCAAAGGAGCTGAGTGTGAGGAAGAAGAGAATCAGGCTGGTCAGTAAGCTACTTGAGGCAGCCAGTTGGAGCACCTTCTGTGATGTGCTCCTCAAACATGCTGATGGCAGCATGCCAGTGGTGGAGTTGGAAGACCTGTATTTCAGCAGGTATGGCACTGCATCCAAAAAGTTGCGGTTTCTGAAATGTTGGCTGAAGCAAGTGAAATTGTCATCTCTTGGTACTTCATCGAGCCTTCATACAGGCGAGACACGTTCTTCCTCAAAGGATGAAGGAGAAGCAAAACTTCAATTCTCAGAGGAGGACGGGGCTCCTCATGTCTGTTCGGTGGATGAAGCAGATTGTAACAAAATTGACAAACCAGTGGATGAAGCAGATTGCAACAAAGTGGAGCAACAAGTGGACGAGGAGACTTCAGCATTCTCTTCAATGGAAGATTTAGAAGCATTTCTTGGGAGCATCCCTCAGAAGATTGAGCAAGGTCTTTGTTCTGAAGATGCTGATTTGGGAAATCTAGCTGAACGCTTGGTTGGCTTGTCTGTCGATGCGCTGATGATTAAGAATGGAAAGATTACAGTGAGATATTTTGAACACAGGGAAGTAGATGATGCTTCTGATGCAAAAGTTATCTCCGAAGCTTCCATTATTCTGTTGAGGAAACCCAAAGAGCTTCTGTTGAAGTACAAAGACAACAATTCAGCATCTGCTGGATCAGAACAAACCTCAAAATACAACGCAAATTACAAAATCCGAGAGTATCCTTTTTAGTCCTCAGTTTTTTTTTCTTCCAGCCCTGCAATTATTTAGTCCTCAGTGAGATAGTAACATGTAGGCAATACTAAGTTTTTTTTTTGGTCTTGTACGCCTTAACAAGCATGTATCAGGCATGAACTGCAGATCTTACTTAGGTTGGAAATAATCAGGTCCAAACTTGGCCCAGACTTCGAGGAAGGTTCAAAACAGAAGATGATAAAAGAGATCTGCTCTCTTTTGCAGTTTATTGATATAAACCTCCAAGGGGATTCATTTCAGTCTGACAGTATCGTTAAGTTTGCTGAGAAGACCATCAAGTCCAGGTATGTCTGTGTTTTGAATGCATTGTAACCATTACAGGCTTTATTTGTTGAGCTATTGGCTCTGTTGATGCTTGTGAATGTTTAGCATTGGTCTGTGTTTTGAATGCATTATAACCATTACAGGGCTTTATTTGTTGAGCTATTAGCTCTGTTGATGCTTGTGAACGTTTAGCGTTGAAGCATAAGTAGTTTTGTAAGGTACAGTGATGACTGCACTTCTTGCTACCTGAGCCAACAGAACCATGCTAGGTTACTTAAAGAAAATTGTAAAAGCAACATACCCACAAATTGATTTTTTTTTGAATAAAAAGGTAGAGCAATTTCTACCTTATCCATTCAAAACGGGCAAAGTACCCGAATGACCAAAGTCATTTACATGAAGGTGATGTTAACGCGGCACAACGTGTGCAGCAGGCCATCACCAGACCTATGTCAGGATACAGCGTGCAGGATGAAAAAGGAAGAGCCAACGCTATTCTTGCTAAACTAGAAACAAAAGCATCTGCCCAAGCTACAAGGTTCTGTCGAGCGTGCTCTGAAGCACGCAGGCTCCATAGCATGATCAATTCAGTAACCTCGTTGTAGACATGTCTCTCCTGCCAAAAGGCTCCATCAAAGACTTGAGCATTCCTGGCATTCCAAAGGGTGACCGCGCATGCCGCGAAGAGAATATGCCACAACTTGCCGTGCAGAGTCCGCGGCTGTTCTGAACAGAAAAAAGCTTCAGCTCCTGTAGAGGATGTGGATAGCTCCTGCAGACCGAACTTGGACCATAGAGCTTGTGCTAGTTTGCATCTGAGCAAATGTGGCTCATTGTCTCTGCAGCTGGGCATAGACCACATCCATTATGGGATACAACTCTATCCCAATGCTTTCTTAGCATATTATCCCTAGTGTTATGTCTGTCCTGGAGTGCAATCCACAGAAAGATACGGTGTTTGTTTGGTATGATCCTGTCCCAGATGTAGCGAGCTGGCGTATAGTTCTTTCCCCTAAAGGTAAGCAGCTTGTAGAAGTATGCAGTACTAATCTCTTATCTTCCAAAAGAGGCATTCTGGTGTCTGGCGTACCTTCTTGAGGATGTGCGTTGCTCAAGACTTCATTTAGGACTTCCAGCTCCTGTGCTGCCATGGAAGAGAGGTTTGGGTGTAGCTGAATGTTCCATTGCCCATCTCTGAACTGGGAGGCGACTGTGCAGAACTTGGACGTAGAGAAGGTGAAAAGTGTCGGGAAGGATGTCATTAGCCTACCGCAGTCGAGCCAGAGGTCATACCAGAAGGCAATTCCATGTCCATTCCCTAACTTGCATTTGGTAGCCTCCATAACCAACTGTACGGTGGACCTGAAGCCTCTCCAGATAGCGGTATCCCGGCTGTGAGGAGACCAAGAGATTTCCTTCTGGCAGTATCTACGTGCAAACCAATTATAACACGGGGCTTCCTCCTGTTGTAAAGCCTTTGCCATGAACTTGCATACCAGAGCCTTGTTGTGTGCTGCAAGATCTCGTACTCCCAGACCTCCATTCTCCTTCGGTAGCATGACCACTTCCCATGCGACAAGACATTGTCCTCCCTTGGCCTGGTTCTTTCCTTGCCATAAGAAACCCCTCAAAATTTGTTCAACCTTCTCCAGCGACTGTTTTGGCCATAGAAAACAGCCCATGAAGTAACTAGGGATCGCTGCCAAGACTGCATTAATCAAGGTGAGGCGACCCCCCCAAGACAGGAAAGTGGCAAGCCAACCAGACAAACGCTTGTCAACTTTGTGTATCACAGGCATCAACAGACCATGTGTTATCTTGTTGAGAGAAAGGGGCAGTCCCAGATATGTGCAAGGGAAGGCTGTGACCTGACACTGCAGAGCGTCGGTAATATCCTTGCAAGTTTGTTGGTCTAAACATATTGGAACAAAAGTGCTCTTATGATAATTGATCCTTAACCCAGTGAATTCACTAAAAGCCTTTAGAATCCATTTGATAATCCCTGCTTGCTGGACATCCCCTTGCAGTAAAATCAACGTGTCATCCGCGTACTGTAGGATAGGAAAAGGGCCGTCGGCTCCAAGTGGGTGTTTAAGGCTCCCCGCCTGGTGTTCCCTTTTGCATAACTGTTGCAAAACGTCTGCAACTAGTATGAAAAGATAAGGCGATAGAGCATCTCCTTGTCTTAACCCACTCCTTGACAAAATCCTCTCCCCTAGAGTTCCATTAATTAGTATCCTGGAAGAGCTAGTTGATAGTATATCATCCATCCATCTGATCCATCTGCTCCCAAAGCCTCTGGCTGCAAGAATGTGCTTCAGAGCATCCCAGCAGACGCTATCAAATTGATCATGCATTTGGTTAGAAAAACCAGTATCACATCATTGTAAATAAACATAATACCTTTCATAAAAAATATATGCATGCTCGGTACTGCTTCCGTTGCCAGATGAAAACCTTATGCTTCAATACAATCTTTGGTTTGATCACTTGTATCGCTACATATTGATGGAAATCTTAACTTGAGATACTTATCTCTTCTACTATTGCCAAACTGCAGGCTACAACTAATTTTACTGCTAGGGATTTGCTGTGTGCTATTATAACCTATAACTGCTCTCATGCTTCAGTTCCAATCATGTGAAAAGAATTGTGAGATAGGAGCATCACAAAGAAATGGTGCTCATTCCCCTAAAAAAATAAGTGGCGCTCATTTTCCTTGATCCTTTGAGGAGCATGAAAGCATTGCTGACATTGTAGAGCACATTGTTGTAACTCCTAATGACAATTGAAATGAGATGATATTTTGTGTTGAATCTTGAATGGTCATAAATATGAGTATATTACACATGTGTTGTGTTAGCCTTTATTTGTTCTCATTGTTGAGTCATGTATCTGTGTTGCTTATAAGCTTATTCCTTAAGGAGAAACTGAAAGTTAAAGCTGAAGAAGATGACAGAAATATATATAATGGTAATTTTATATGCTGAATTTAGAAATACTATCCTGCCGAACAGCACTACATATTAGGATCTCTTGGAGCCATTTCGTAACAAAAGTGAACTCTGGATTCCTGTCCAATTTTTGACTGCTCAATAACTTACAGGGAGTTCAAATTAATAATTTGACTGCTCAATAACTTACATCTATGATGAGACAAAGGTTTAAATGTATAATTTGACTGCTCAATAACTTACAGGGAGTTTAAATTTATAATCAGACTGCTGAAAATTTTGTAGGTACATGGACTCTCTGGAGGATGTGATCAAGAAGATATACACGGAGATGGAGTTTGATCTGTTCGACGAAGATGACTTGCCATGTTCAGACTCTCTACCCAGCAGCAGCAACCAGGATGACGGCAAGGGCAACAAGAGCCGGAGCAGCCAGAGGAACTGCGCCAGCAGCTCGAGCGCTCCCACGCTTCACACGAGGAGCAGACACCATGACAGGCACGAGGAGCAGCTGGCGCGAGCGAGTGAGCGACGGAACAGGGAGCGCAGGCTCTCCTCCTTCACCAGCTGGGTGCCGGACTTGCGCCGCGTGTGGGCGCTCAAGCACCCCGGGAAGGAGCCTCCCCTGGCGGCGGCGGTGCCTCGGTCCAGGCAGCACTCGAAGCGGAGGAAGCGGCGCGCGGCGTGCACCGACATGGTCTGCGAGACGCCCATGACGGCCTCGAAGAAGCAGCAGCCGGAGCAGGCCGGGTCGGGGTCTGACGAGATGATGTCGATCGGGTCCGTGTCAAAGACCTTGTTCGACGACGACACGGAGGTGAGCAGCTCCAGCAGCGTGTGAACGAAAGTGTACTCGAACGAGCATATTGGTCGCGCGGTTGCACAGTTGCGATTTTCTTCAGAAGCTTGGAGATCTCTGAGCTCCAGGGAAGGCATTTCTCATCAGTATGGAAGTGTCCTGATTGTTGTGGTGGGCCGGGCTGATTACTCATTCATTCCGTTGTTGAACTTCGGCATCTGTTTCAGCTGTATGTCCTCTCACCCCTCAAAAAAAAAACTGTATGTCCTGTCTTCTTCTACGGTGATGACACTTCTTTTTGGCTGAGCTAGCGGGACATAGCGGGCGCGACTATATGTTTTTTTAGTCTAAACACACATTTATTAATCAGTAAACATAGGGATACAATGAACGTCTGGAGGGGTGAGGAGCCAAATATGGCGACCAAAATCCAGTCCAAAAGTATATTTAGCGAGGCTATGTGTCTCGGAGTTTATAGTCCTTCGTTTGAAGATAAAGGAACACTCGTTGAATCATTCTGCCGTGTTGATGATCTCCTTCACTGTGCTCGCATGACTGCCTCATGTGTCCCCGTGAATGTCATTGACTACCGTTTGGCAATCCTAAGCAATCAATTCATGCGATAATGCCAGGTCCGTAGATAGGGCTAGAGCCTCCCTACAGGCGAGAGCCTCAAGGCATGCTGGATTGGTTATGCCAGCCATCCTTATTGCAGAAGCTCTCAAGGGTGTGACTAGAAAACGGATGCGCTAATGCGCAACGGCTTTCGTACTAGTTGCTTAATCCATTGCTTGTTTGGTTCACGTCAGCAACATATTTTTATGCTGATCTTAGCAAAAAAGGATTGAGCTATTTTCGAGCGACCTTTGGTGTACCCGTACATTTTTTCATTTGTTTTTTTTTGTTTCTTACATTTGTTCATATTTTCGAAAACGTTCTAAAACCGTAAATTCCAGCACTTCAAAATACTTGAAAAAAACTATGAATTTGAAAATTGTTAAATGCCGTGTAAAGAAATTGTTAGCTTAATTTTAAAATATGTAGATACATTAAAATAATGTCCACGTGTGTCAAAAAATGTATAACATGAATTCAGAAAAATGTTTGAAGACATTTATTTGAAAAAAGTGGCTCATGTATTAAAAATGTTGACATGTATAATTTTTTCATATGTATACAAAAATGTATAGTATGTATAAAGAATGTAGACATCATAACACATATTTGAAGAAAATATTAATCATGCACATGCAAAATGTTAAATGTGTAAAAGAAAAATGTTTCTTATGTATACAAAAAACATACAATTTGTACAAAAAAGTAGACATCAAAATATATATCTAAAAAATTTTAAACATGGATTTGAAAAATGTTTAAAGTGTATATTTTTTTCTTATGTATACAAAAGATGTGCAATCTGTATTTTAAAATGATAAACATGTATAGAAAATGTTCATGTTGTGTACGGAAAATGTACAACGAACATAAAAAATTATACTTCAAAAACATATATATATATATATATATATACACACACATATATATATATTTAAAGTCCTGTATACAAAAATATTTTTTATGTATACAGAAAATGTACATTGTGCGTGAAAAAAGTTTATTTCCATTAAACAAATGTTCACCGTGTATTTGAGAAAGTGTTGACAATGTATTCCAAAGTGTTCAAAATATATATTTAAAAAACTTTACATCGTGCATTTAAAAAATGTTTAACGTGTATCAACAAAGCATTTCACGTGTACACTAAAAATGTACATTGTGTATTGGAAAAATAGACATGTGTTGGACAAAAAAGTAACCAATGAAAAATGACAAAGAAACAAAGAGAAACGAAAAAAGCAACGAAAACAAAAAAAAAAGAACAAGAAAAAAAGAAAAAGAAAAAGAAAAAGAAAACCAGTGAAAACCAATGAAAAAGAATGGAAACAAGAAAGAGACAAAGAAATCCAAAAAGGGAATTAAAAACGAAGGAAGAAAGAAAGTAAGGAAGAAACCAGTGAAAACTAAGAAGAAACAAAGGAATCAAATAAATCATAGGAAAAAGGAAGAAAACCCCATTGAAAGCCGAGAAAGAAACTAAGAAACCGATGAAAAAACAAAGAAAGTAAAAAACCCGAAGAAAACCATGAATAAATAAAGAAAGCAAAAAAAAGAAGAAAATCGAACCAAACCGGCTCATGATTAATTGAGCGAACGAGTGTGAGCGAGCGAAAAAACACCAAAACGAGTCGGCCCATTAACGACAGGGAAAGAAAAACTTTTAGGTGAGATGAGAGCTATACTCGCTATAATACTCACTATAAGTGAGATATAGCTCTCACAGGAGATTGTCACGGCTAGGCCACCTCTCCAGCCACCTTGTACAACTAGGCTAGGAGGTGGGCGGCACACTAGGCCATGGAACAGAAGGTAGGGCAATGTGCCTGGTTCCTGGCGGTGCCACAGGCGACACAGTGGCCTCAGTCGTGCCGGCTTCGGACCGCCCAATCTCCGCCTGACCCCGTGTCCTCACCTGCATCGGGGCCAGGGCCTCCGATCTCCACCTTGCCAACAGCAGACCGATCCGGAACTTGCGGCTTAGGGTTTATTGCCTTCGTGGCCTCAAGATTGCTAACCGGAGGCATGACACTTGCAAACCATAAGAATGAAAAGATTCACACTATACGGTGGCGAAAATCCCTAAGGACTCAATGAACAAGGACCTAAAGATGTTGTACCTAACGATCTCCAAAGCGGCAACCTCCGGCAGTGTACTCTATCTGCCAACCCCGCCCTAGTAGACCAAACTTAGGGGCTTCAATAGCCGCAATCCTCAACGTTGAGGACGCCACCACGTTGTCCTCGTCGATGACACAGGTGGGCCTAAAATAACAAAGTCCGAAATCAACAAATAAAGCAAATCAACTACCACATACTATGGTCAAGTAAATGATGAAGGGATTACCGGCCGGGCGCAAAAGTGTTGTGCTTCCTTGGAGGCCTCACCACCCAGATCGGCAGGACCAACATTGGGGGTGCGTCAGCCTCCTCAAGAGCTCTTCGTATCTTTGGGGAGCCCTCGGTGGCTGAGCCTCGGTGGTGGAAGTCCTGTCGCCATGGCCCCTCTTCATACCTTGCACGGGCAAAGCCGACTGCGCCTCCTCCTCACCAGCGAGGTCTGCCTCCTCCCCGAAGGGCTCATCATCATCCTCGTCATCTTTGTCCTCGTCCTCCTTGCTGTCGTCATTGTCATGTTCCTCCTCAGGGGGCATGACAACCATCCCCTTCTTGGGAGGAGCACTAGCAGATCTGTGATGGGAATGGAAAAGTGGGGAAATGCCTCTCTCTCTAGGATTCCTGCTGGCAAACCCAAGTGACAGCCTCGGTGAATGGACACATGTCCCATTTCGTCTGCGGTTTCTAATTACGCGAAATATGGGCGCAGAGATCCATGCCTTATCATCACGACGATGTGATCAAAGGAGGACCAACAACTGTCCGTTTCCCTACCTTTACGACAGTGGTGACATAATGTGATGAGGCAAGAGGCAGCGCTGCCTTGGTTCTTATGGCTAGCGGTGGACGATGCGAGGTCGTGAAGACGTAGGTTGCGAAGACATGAAGGCACAGGACGCAAAACCATCAAGATGTAAGCTGGGAAGCCATAAACCCTACTGCGAAGACACATGCCTAGAAGCTGTGATGCCTCGACCCTACGAGGCTAGGAGCTGTAGGATGCAATATTATAAGCCACATAGTCAAAAACTATAGGCCGCGAAGCCTTAAGACCACGATACCCTGAGATCAGAAGCTCCAAGGCCTCGAAGATACACTCTTGAGGCCACGCAGTTGATGGCCCCGAAGATTCTTGAAGCCAGGCTACCTAAGACCAGACTGCACCTATCACCAATATGAAAGGGGCATGCTTGGATTTCGTTCTCGAAGAAGACAGACTCCAAAAATTTAGACAAGCTCGTGGGCTACTGACAGTATAGTTCATCGGGGTTGGCCCATTGATCGAGAAACCCGACACGAGGCCAATCTGTAAGTGCATCTACTGCCCCTTGGTGATTTTGGTGTATTGAAGACTTATAGGTTAAGGGACTAATGCGTTTGTGAGTGTACACAAGTCTATAAGTCTATGAGGAGTTTGATATTTACAGAGAAAGTCGACCCCTAAAAATGAAGTTCTTCGACTGAAGACTTTGGATTTCTGAAGACTTTTTGAAGACTTTGAAAGTGAAGAAATTGGTGTGACCGTGAAGACTTGGTATTCATTCAAGGAACATGAAGCGTGAAGACTTTTGTTTTCGTAGTTTCATTTTCTCTTTCTTGAGTCATAGGAAACACCTTACTATTAAAGGGGGTCGAGGAAATACTAAGGAAAAGTTTCCAAGTGATGCTCAACTCAAAATCCTACACCTACCAATCCCTTCGAGTGAAGCCATTGGAAATCTCATGAAGTTCAGTCAATTTCTTCAGTGACGGAGACGAAGCTCTTCTGGTCTCTGAGGAATTTGTCCTAACTGAGGAGTTAGGAATTCGCTAGTGCGGATTGCCTACAAGTGAGGAACATGATAGCCCTAAGGAATTTGATAGTCAAATTTCCGACCGTTGCTGTGCTACGCGCCAGCTGTCCCAAAATATCTTCCCACCTAAAGGTCATATCATTGAAGGGCATTTATGTCTTATCATGTCGGGCTGCTCCCTAGGCTATAAATAGCCGCCCCCTACAACCACTAGCTGGTTGGCTGCTCCGAGAGAAACCGACACTTGTCATTTGAGAGCATCTCATCCTCCGAGGACTTTGAGCGAAAATCATCAAGTGAGGAAAACCCAAACCCAAATACCTACAAACCCAAAGTGATTGAGCATGACTGAAGAGATTGATCCTGCGTGGATCCGACGCCTGTTACCTTTGAAGACTGTGCATCTTCCAAACGGTTAGGCGTCATGGTCTAGAGCATCCAAGAGGAAATTGTGGATCGCTGAGTGACCGAGTCTGTGAAGGTTTGGAAGTCACCTAAAGACTTACCACGAGTGAT